GACCTAAGCCAAAATCAACAGCTGGACACTCAACCAACTGGGCCTCTATTCATTAACTATTCATTTTTTAATTCCCAATATAGATCAAGTTCTTCTGATAAAGACTGTGTCCAGATTGACATGTGCTATACATGTAAAATACATGCTGGATTTCAAAGGCTTAGTTCCAAATATAAAATACAAAATATATTAAAAAATCTTATTAAAGATCTTATTATAGCTTGATCATATGGTGCAGTTATAATAACAGGCGTCATCGGTTGGGATGCTAAAGTACATTGTTATAATCAGTTTCACCTGTTTCTCTACTGCTCTCAGCATGGCTACTGAAAAAGTTCAGATTGTGCATGTGGCTCTTTTTTCCTAAGTTCTGCAGTCGCCCAGAATATGAAGTCATACAGTGAGAAACTCCCATACAGTCCTTGGGAGTTTCCTTCCCCTGAGAAACCCCTGGTATTGGAGAAGGCCCTCCTTTAGATTCTAGGTAGTGGCCAGACTGGAGGGGTTATCCTCAATCACCAGGAGCCTGAGGCTGGCTGTTCATTGTGCTTGCTTTTGGTCTCAAAAGTCCAACTAATGGCAGGCTTCTGGAAAGCATTTCCCCATCATTATCTGAGCTTCTAGCTCACCAGCCATCAGCCAACGGGACTGCCCTGTGCCCACACCTTGTAGGTAACCCATGGAAGGGCCAGACTAGGGAATGAGAGCAGCTAACCAGGACAGCCATTTATTTGCCTTGGAACTTGGCAGCCCACCTTCAAAGAGGGGCAGAGGGAGTGGGAGATAAGCAGACCCCCTCACCCCATCCCGTCGCTGAGCAGGGCTCCAGCCCAGGGGCCTAAGCTCATGACCTAATGATGTTAGGCAAACGATCATTCGCCTGCACTCAAGCACTTTATGGGGGATTTGGTCTAGCTTCTACACCTCGGACACCACCCTCTAAAACAAGCCTTACTCAGCGGCCTCACATCGGTCACACTGATTAGGACCAAACTGAACACAACTATTGAAAACACAAGCGCTCAAGTGTTCATGGATGGGCTGTGACTAGACTTCGAGATTTTTTTACCACTCCCTGAGAATATGGTTTCTGGGAACTGATAAATACACGTCATTTGCATCACGATGTCGAGAGTGGCTGCTGTCCTGCTATACTGGGGACATCAGTTATCCATCAGCATCTTTAGGGTATAAAATCTAGATGCACGCAGATGACAGGTTAGTCATCCCTGAAACAGTCACAACACATGAAAGATTTCTGACTCTGAAATGGTTTTTTTTTCTTCCATTACACCCCTCTTTTATAAACGTCGCATTAAATGGGCAGAGACAAATTATGCAAATTGAAAAAGACCAAATGAACTCTCTGGAGTTTCAGTCTCAGTCTTCACCACTTGCTCAAGATCTTTCCTGTGGGAAAACATCCCAAAATGAAATTCACAACTTCACTTTTCATTTCTATGCTAAGGATTCCTATTTTGATCTTTTCAGCCCCCACTTGTCTTCTAGGCTCTAGCGCTACATTTCCAACTGTTTTATCCATTCCCCCCAAACCCCACACATTTAAATTGCACTATATATAACTGAGTCATGTTCAAAAACTTGAAAAGCAGAAGGAAAAAGAAAACTTGGTAGAAAGTATGTAGTACATTACATCTAAAGGGAAAACAAATCCTAAGCGGGAGGCAGTATTTTGTCTCTACTGGATTACACAAACCCTCAGGTTATCCACTTTCTTCTCTGGTCATCAGACAGCTTCTAATCAATCTGGCTTCCCAGGAAGCTCCTCACCTGTAAAAGTAGTTCTTGAATTTAATGCTTTTGTTTTACAGATGCTAACATTCTGTTGTTATCTCCACATACAGATATTTTTATTAAATATGTGTACTGAGAATACACTATAGTCTAAGTCCTGAAATTGCATAAGTGGCATTAGAGAAGCATATAAGATCTATACCTTATTATGTAAGATAATGATATGTAATGCCTAGAAAAGCAAATAATGTGGATTCTTGACCTAGTCTGAAGGACCAGAAAGACTTATCCAAGGTAATAGCATTTGAGAATGCGTAAGGGCCTTGGGGTGAAAGGAAGTAAAAAAAAAAATTATTGTGAAAGAAATACTGTTCCAAACCCAGTTTGGGATAAAACCTTATTCCTTGATATAATTAGTAATCTCCTTATTGAATAAATTAGAATTCTGAGAATTGCTTAATTATTTATGGGATAAACATTGGTCTTGGGAAACCGATCACTCATGCTTCCGCCTGACAGTTAAGAGTCTGCAGACCTTGAAATAAACATTCTTTTTTGCCTAATCTATATAGTCCATGCATGCCCTCTACTAGAAGAGACACTCCAGCTGGCCCACTAGAGGTTGTTCCCATGCAGCAAGATTATAATCAAACTGGCACGTGCTCGTAGCTAAGTTACCTAGGAAGTTGTTATGGTCTCAAGAATTACTTCTAGGTCTACAATTAGGTTAATATCATGGAGAACAGAACCACAATGGAGGCACTCGGTCTAGTGAAAAAGGAAGCCAAGGGATAAGCCAAATCCAGATGGAGCAAGGAATTACCCTTTGGTATTTAGATCTTATTCATAAACACACAATATAAAAAAGATGCGAGGGTGATCGCATTTACATTTTATAAAGATCAATCTTTCTATGATATGCTATCTAATGGGAACATAAATGTGAGTCACAAATACAAGCAAAATATTTAATTGTAAATGTTCTAGGAGCCACAGTAGAAAAAATTAAAGAGAATCCGGTGAATTAATTACAATACTATAGTTAATATAACTCAATACATCAACAATGTTTTCATTTTAACACGTAGCGAGTATAAAAAATTATTTACTAAAAAAAATTATTTACTCCGTTCTTCATTACCTTCACCTCCATCCTGTGTTATCCTAGAATATTAAGGTGAATTGTTAAAAGTTCCAGTGACAATGGAAAGGCTTTAAAAATTTTTTTTTGATATTTTATGGAAAACAACGTGAGAACTTTCATTTTCCTCTAATAAGATCATAGTTCAGAATGTGCTATGTTTAATTTCTGTGAATATGTTTTCTTATTGATGAACTCCTGCATAAATAAAAGATAATGGGTACTTAGTGAGGAGATCCTCCAACATCATTATCCAGATCATTTTCACTAAATTAAAAATAATATTGCATCCAGAAATGCAGTATTTTACCTGTTGGTGCCTCCTTCCAACCAAAAAAGCAAAACACAATTGAAGCTTCTTTTAAACATCTTCATTTTTCAAAAACATAGAATCAATATTTTTGAGGGTGGCTTATTTCTTATAAAAAATTTGGGGTTTTTTTAAATGTGAAAATCCAAAAGGCTGAAATAAAAGCATTTGAATTTCTCCAAATTCAAGTAAGATTCATTTGATCGTTTAATTCTATCAGTGTCTGAAAACACTCTTATGAAGAGATAGTATAATCATCCCATTTTACAGATGAGGAAATTGGATGAAAGACATACTTTTAGCAAGACTCTAATATTACCTTGAATATAGTTACAAATTGAATCCTGAGAATATTTGTCATACTACTGATATAATTAACTTATTATAATGACAGTGTCTTACAGCAGCTAATATTTATTCAAAGTTTCCTGAGTGCTAGGCAGTGTTTTAAATGCTTTATGGATCCAAACCTAATCCCCCAATTGCCCTACAGGTGGATACCCTTAGTAGCTCCATTTTTTAAAAGATTTTATTTATTTATTCATGAGACACACACACACACACACACACACAGAGGCAGAGACACAGGTAGAGGGAGAAGCAGGCTCCATGCAGGGAGCTCATCATGGGACTCGATCCCGGAACCCCAGGATCATGCCCTGGGCTGAAGGCAGCCGCTCAACCACTAAGCCACCCGGGCGCCCCAAGTCCATTTTTTTGAATGAGGGAATTACATGAAGAGATAAATTCTTAAAAAAATCTTTAATAAATTGAAATGCTTCCCACATTGTCGTTCTCAAGAATGTTTGAAAATAGCCTCGAGCATATTTTATAATTATTAGTTTGTAATAATGGTTGTAAAAGCAGCTGTAATCAGTGGAGGGCTCTGTAAGCGTTGGGCACTGCTCAAGGCATTTGCATGTAATGACCCACTTGATGATAATGGTGATCTGCGAGACGGGGACTCTAGTACTCTCACTATTTTAGAGAGAAGAAAACAGGCAACAGGATGTGGGTAAATGGGCCAGAGAAGAATGACAGTGGCAGGACTCCTATCTGCAGCCTGAGAGCGCACGTGTTAAAATTGTATTCAAGTTAGTGCTTACCCAGAGAGGCTGAAATGGGGAGATTTCCCTCATTTCCCAAACTGTGAATGAAGAAACGAACTCATCAATTTTGGCTGACTGACCCATTTTAATGAATGCCTTTCTTTTCCCCCTTCTACAACTGTTCTAATTTAACAGTTTTCCTGTCCTAAAAACCAAAAACCTGCTTGTATCATCCAAATATACATTCTAATTACTGGAGTTGGAACTCAAGGTATTTAAAAAAAAAAGCTTAATTTTAAAGGGAGTTTTCTTTTTATAATCTCTATTAAAAAGTTAAGCAGCACCCAAAAATTACCCTGCCTTAAATAATCCTCTAGAGCTACAAGTTTGAGGATTTAGTGAAATATAAAGAAACATCTGATTAGTTGATTTAACTAAGTCACATCGACATTCTATTTTATATCAATTCGTATTTTATAATCCAGCACTAAGACTAGTGAGTGAGAGTTTTCTAAAAATTCTTACTGTATACATTTCACTAAAAAAAAATATGTCCCGGGCCTTCAGTTTATGTATTTACTAAAAGCTATGTGGTCCTTTCTATAGAGTATCTAAAATAAAAATTCACACATATACCCATTGGTGGCACATTAGTAGTTACAAGCACTATTTTAAAGCTTGAGACTTTTGGTGAACGATCATTCAGTTTTTCCCCATATATGGACGCCACACCTTGTTGTCAATAAATAATTCCACTTTAATGGCAAAGTAATAATTTAGACAGATACAGGGTGCACATTTGCAAAAAAATATATGCAAGCTGGTTTACAAGCTAGAGGAACAATAAACCAATAGAAAATACATCATCCAGTTAAGTCCATTGACACCAAGTACTTATTATTGGGGCTTTACAAAGACTACAAAACTTTTCAGATGATTTATTTCACTGTTTCTGCCTATTTACATGATATGTTACATCAAAAATGTACAAAATATAAAATGTATACAGACGCATGTTTCACAAACTAGTTTAAGTTGTAAACTAGGTGAACCTACTGGGATGTATTGCAGGAATTTGTGTTTATGATCATGTTTGGACTGTGTTTCTCAAAAATGGCAGGGAAAGATTAGCAATTTTTTTAGATCACATATTATACAAGGGCAACCAGTCACTCATCCAGCTACATATATTGATGTTTTACAACAGTTTTGATCCATGTTCGAGGCTTCAAAGTCAGGGTGACCATTCTATGTGCATAAATTCAGTTCAGATTTCTCTTAGGGCAATAGCACCGTGTAGGACCTGTGGACTTAGTGACACTCTGAAAACTGCACAGATGTCTTGTGCTGTTATTGTTCTATAGCAACTGACCCACGGGTGGTCACAGAGAGTAGCACCAATTGCCCATCCTGAAAGCAACACATCTTCACACGCTTAGAACACGTCTACACCATGGCCTAGCCCTTCGGTTCTAAAAACTCAAAACCCGTCCTCTGTGAGTGATGGTAACTTCTCCAATGATTCCCATCAGTTTTCATGCACTCTCTTTAAAGCCTGCCACAACAGATGCACTTTCAGACTTTTTTTTTTTTTTTTACTTTTCCAAGAATGTATCGGCTTCATGAACAGTTTTGAAGCATGCTCACTCTAGCACTGATAGCTCCTGCATAGTCATGACAACTGTAAATACAGGACAAACACATCAGATAATAACAGCTTGGAGGGTCTGCATTCTGTATTTGTTTGCAATGTACAGGAAATCTCAGCAAGTGAAACACCTCTTAACACCGACAGGATTAAAATACATTTTTTGTGTGCGTGTGTTTGTTTTGATTTGTGCAAGTTTTTAAAATTATTATTTACAATACCTACCCAGTAGACTGTGCAAATCTAACCTTCTCTTACAGTATAAGCGCTTCCTCTTCCACAGTGACTTCACTGCTTCAGTGTTCTTTAATGCTGAATTTCTCATGTACAACGATAGCAATCAAAACAACATGCTCCAAACTAATAGTAACAGGAATCATAATCACAAAAAGAATAGGGGAGGAAAGCCAAATAGTTGTGTCCGTGTTGCATCTAGTGCTTCCAGCTCTGCGGGATGAGATTTCCAAATCTCCCTCCTTCTAAAACGCCATTTGCCTAGAACTGGATGGAATTTAGCCACATGTCTTAGCTTTTAAGTGACGGTCAAAGAGGGTTTCTGGGTTACTTGGACACTTTGGAGGACAGGCAACTGATTCTCAAGGGCAGAAAAATACTGATTTTTCTCCTATCCAATTCTTCTGGAAAAAAAAAAAACAAAACAAAAACAAAACAAACCAACCCAAAACAACCAAACCAAAAAAAGACCCAAAACAGATATATAGAGATGAGAGGCTACTGTGTGAACTGGTGTTGCTTGGTTATAAATGAAAAGACAGTGGAAATCACCGACGGTTTAGGATTTAAACCAACTGTTAAACTGTTGTAGAAATCTGTTTTAAGGCAGTGAGACAGCACCATAGGAAATGTTCCTTCTTTCACTGAAAAGGCTCAAACGAGTAAAGCCCTAAGAAAGCCTTTTGTCAGTGTTGACTAATAATTGGTATAAAACTCTTGTTCGGGGAGTGGGCCGGTGGTTTCAAAAGACCACTGTGGTAAAAACAACCTTATAAAACCTGTGACTCATAGACGAGGAAGGTGGTGGAGCACATCATGCGAACGTGGCAGTTAAGAATGACACTGGCACGACTCCAGCTTGCCATAGTAGTGTTTTCCTGGTGGTTGCACAATTCCGGCTGTGCTTACGGAGGACTGGCCTCTTGGCTTCGTTTTGGAATGGGGTGAGCGCACGACACAGATCCCACTGGGGCCCTGTGACCAGCACCGTGTGGCACAAAGGAGGCTTGGACGGGGAAGCAGGGGCCCTGCTTGGGGGTGGGGGGTGAGAAGGGCCCCTCGAGGAACAAATGGAAGGGATGACAGAAGGGCTGCATTGTAAACTTTTAAAGAGGGACAAAATAAAGTCCAGTCTGGCTATCCCACGTGCACTCCATTCCGTCGCCCTGTCATGAGGGTCCTTCCCGGTTGAGTAATGGAGCCGTGCAGGGCCCCACAGATATAAAAACGCCTAGAAATAAAATAAAGTTAAGCTTCCATTTCCGTCGAGCATCTTGGCGGTTCAGGCTTCCTCCTGCTGCCTCCTGGGAGACCACAGCTCTGGGGCAGGGCCCTCGACAGGGCACTTTCGTACTGGCAGTGGTGTAGGGACAATACCTTGCCTCTCAGGCCTTTGGAAAGAGCGTCAGTCTTTTCCCCTAACTTTGTTCACCCTTTAGAGGGTAGATTCCAGGGACGAATCCAAAATGTCTTCATGGTGGCTGGTGCTATCGCTGTCACAGCTTTGGGTGCCCGAGTAGTTGGCTGCTTCTTGGAGCTTCATTAGCATATTCATCTGCGGAAAGAGAAAGACACATGGATGTGGCAGCGACGCAGGGAGTGGGCCGGCCCTCAGCCCCCCTCAGCCCGTGGCCCTGAGCTCCGCCAGGCACCCCGAACTCCCAGCCAAGGGCCACGGGGACATGACTTTGACTTCCAGCCGTCGCCTGGGGCTCCTCTACCGGCTCTCCCACGCACGGCCCCCCCAGCAGCAAGCCATGGGGGCCAAATGGGGCCTGGAGAGAGTGCTGTGATGGGGGCTTATGACCCAATGGGCTCCGGTGGGGAGCCCGGGGAGGGCTCATCCCCGCTGGATCTGGGCCCGCTGCTGGACGGCAAGAAGCTGACCGCACCCGGTGGCACCTGCAAGCCGTGGACCTTCACGCACACGCTCCCCCGGGCCGGGGTGGGGGGCAGGAGCACAGGGCATGGCACCATGGCACCTGCTGGCTTGGGGCTGGCCCCGGGGAGGGGCAGGGAGCAGGTCCTGGGTGTCTGAAGAGGGAGAGGCAAAGAATCGCTGTCGGATTTCTGGCTAAACTATGATTGATAGATCACTGAACACAAAAGCCAGCTTCTGGAACAAGAGCAGCTGCCCCAGGCTCCCAGTTGAGAGGACGGTGGTGATGTTTGTTCCAGGGAAGGGGACACACGCGTGGAAGCACCTGGGGAGAAGGGCAGCCAGCTGCTTCCATGTATCACAGAACAGACGGCGGCTGCCTTGCTTGGCTGCTGCTAGATCCGCGGACCCACCGTCAGAAAAAGAAAGAAAGATGGTTTAAAAGCAGATTGTGGAAAAACTGTTCGACGGTTCTACAAAGCGCAGGAAAACCGGCACATGTCTTCAGCAAGGGAAGAAGACACGTCTTCCCGTCAAGGGTTCCTATTCGTTGTAATGATCTTTATATTGTTGAATGCATAGTAATTTTATTATTTGATAAAGTAATCCAAGTTATTGTTGTTGTTGTTGTTTTTCCAAATTAGAGAAATAGAGACTCTGATCCAATAAAAAAAAGAAATCTAAAAAAATATAAAAAAGGATTCTTTGGTCATGTGTTAGGGCCACGTGCGCTTGGGTGCTCTGTAAAATGCGTGTTCAATAAATGCTCATGACATCAATGATACACTGGTAATCCCCAATTTTAGCACGCGTGCCTTTCTAAAAAGAGGCTATGGCGATAGCCATGTCTTAAGGTCATTTTAATATTCTTCAGAACAATATTTTTCGACACAACGGTTAGTCTAACTCTCTGAATTTATTAAACGAGCTGCACACAGATACGGGATGGAAGTTGCTGGGACGACCTCTCAAACCCAATGAGGCAAAAAGCCAAAGGTCTCCATCGGCACCTGCTCCCCGCCCCCCGTCTGTCCTTCCCCCTCTCTCCCCCACACGCCCACCCCCCTCACAATTATTTTGCCTCCCTCTTTCGTGATGCCAGCTCCTTCCCTCATTAGTCGCTGGCCGCATGTTCCAGCATTTGGGTGAAGATAATTTGTAGAACGCGCTTGTGTGCTGAGCGTCCTCTTGCTTTCCCGAGAGCAGTAGGCATTGTGAATGAGGTCCCTCTGAAGGGTCACGCTTCTGACCTCGGTCACGAATGCTGGAAATCACTTGGACGCTGAGTGTTGTAAAAGTTTTATGGTGTGATGCAAGTGTCACTAAAGTCTTAATCTTTGCAAATGGTGCCATATAATAAATACGCTTTATTAGAATAAGTTCCAAGTCTCAGGTTCCTAATAAATGTGCGCACGGGATTTAGTTTGCCTTCTCACAGCGTTGCTTTGTGCACTCAGGTCCCGGCGGATTACAGAGGGGGCAAGGTTACAGATGATCCAACTGTCACTGCGACAGATCATTATTCTCTGCAAAACAATGTCCCTCCTCCCCTCTCCTCTCCTCCCCCCTCCTCCCTCCCTCCTCTCCTCTCCTCTCCTCTCCTCTCCTCTCCTCCTCCTCTCCTCTCCTCCCCTCCCCTCCCCTCCCCTCCCCTCTTCTCTGCATTCTCCACACCCAAAGTCATTTATATAATGTCTATCATTTGTAACACGCTGCGCAGGTCCTTATCACCCCTGCTATTTGCCAATCTGCTGGGCTCCCAGCTTCCATCCTCTCTTCTTTAATCTGTCTTCTTTTTTTTTTTAATTTTTATTATTATTTATTTATGATAGTCACACACACACACAGAGAGAGAGAGAGAGAGGCAGAGACACAGGCAGAGGGAGAAGCAGGCTCCATGCACCGGGAGCCTGACGTGGGATTCGATCCCGGGTCTCCAGGATCGCGCCCCGGGCCAAAGGCAGGCGCCAAACCGCTGCGCCACCCAGGGATCCCCCTGTCTTCTGTTCTATTACCAAAGCAATGTTTAGAACCTGCAAATCTAGCCAAGGTAAGTCCCCTGCCCAAACACCTCCGGTAGCCCCTCATTATCTGTGTGATCAAGTTTTAGCTTCTTACAAAGATAAATAGGCCTCGGCCTCTAGTTTTTCTTGCCCTTCTTATTCTAATCCCGCCATTCTGCATAGAGCCCCTGAAGTCATCATTTTTGTTATGCTGTTCCATGGTTCACCTGCCGCTTCCTTAATTTTGGATGTTCTCCATCTAAGCACACGAGGAACTTCTATTCACCCTTCTAGAGGCAGCTTAAGAATCTCCTCCTTTTGGAAGCTGTCTCCTAATCACTTCCTCAATGGACTCCCTACTTTATCTAGTATGTGACTCTACCACTATTTTACTGTCATTTATATGGGTAGATGGCTCTCTCTACTAATGGCCTGTGAGCTTCCTGAGATCAGAAACGATCTTTTATTTATCTTCTGGCCAATGGGTCTTAGTACATACTTATTAATACTTGTTGAAATAGGGGATTCCTGGGTGGCTCAGTGGTTTAGCGCCACCTTCAGCCCAGGGCGTGATCCTGGAGACCGGGGATCGAGTCCCACGTCGGGCTCCCTGCATGGAGCCTGCTTCTCCCTCTGCCTGTGTCTCTGCCTCTCTCTCTCTGTGTCTCTCATGAATAAATAACAATCTTTAAAAAAAATACTTGTTGAAAGAATGAATGAGTTTGTTGATGATGAATAAAATACTGTGAGATGCACCAAAAAGTTGTATCCTTGTTCATATCCAAAAACATATTTCTGACATTAAATAGTGGATTTTTACCAAATATTTTTTATTTAGATTGGACTGCAAATATATTTTCACTTGATGACAGTAATTATAGATCTATAACAAAATAAAAGCAGATAGAATATTTATTTTCTTATCAGAATGTCCTAAAGATTTACTTTTTGATGATAAGACTTTCGCTTTTTAACATATAATCCCTGTTTCTTAACATATTTAGTTGAGCAGCTGTTTAAGAATCAGATATTAAAAAAATTTTTTTTGATTTGACAGAGAGAGAGAGAGAGAGCACAAGCAGGGGGAATGGGAGAGGGAGAAGCAGGCTTCCTGCTGAGCAGGGACCCACTCCCCGGCTCCCTGGACCCTGCCCCTCCCCCCAATCCCTGTTGATACAGAGCTCAATCCCAGGACCCTGGGATTATGACCCGAGGTAAAGGCAGACGCTTAACCAACTGAGCGACCCAGGTACTTCAAGAATCAGGTTTTTTAACCCCAATTTCCACTCAGTATGGGAAACTCTGGAGCTCTTTTCCATACTAGAAGACAAGAGCATTCAGAGCCAGGGAAGAATGCTGGATGGGTTTAGTTATCAGGACTGTGGGAATTGGGAAGTTGAGGGCATTCCTTAGCAGTCTCTTACTCTATAGTGTAATTCTCAAAACAAACTCTATAAAGCCTCTCCTTACCTGGAACAGATACAGTATATCAACACTGCAAAGTGAAGACTAGAAGTTATAAAATTCAAAGGTGATAGCTCATACTTGTACCCTGAAGTCTATATTTGCTCTGTTAAATTTTAAGCCATTCTATCAGCAATTAATTAGTACTTGCTCCCAATTATGCTGCATCCAAACCAATTCCTCCACCACTGTTAATTTTAAACTCTGTAGGAGCTAAAAGGCCAGCTACCTGTTATAGAAATAAAAGTCCAGGTTCTTAAAGGATTTTATGGTCTAGAGTGAAAGTCCAATATCAGAAGTCCTATATAGGAGTTCTCTGGAATCAAAGCAAGTCTATGTATATACCCCCATGACTCTATGGAGCCCTTTGAAATGTTTTACAAAATTTTTTTTGCATGTGTGCATTTTGTCATGGAAAAGATCTTAAAAATCTATCAGTTTGTTCACATGTAACCCTCAAAACGTTAAGACTGGTCAGGTGAGATGATAATGTATATATGTTGGGTTATGGGTACAGGAATATCCCATAAAATACCAAGTCATTTTATGTTCTTGGGTATTGTCATAGGTTATGATTTTTAATCATTTCCTTTTTGTCTGTTTTAAATGACATAATGGCTGTTATTTCAGTATCTTTTCTTCTTGTATTGATTGTGCAAGTCCAGTGATTTCTTTAGCCATAGAATGGTAAGCTAATAAATGCATTCTAACTGACCCCAATCTATACGGGTTCATCTGTACATATGAAAAAAAATACATAAAAAATAAAATCTTCTTTTTAATAACACCACTTACTTAATAGTCTCAGAATACTCATAGTTTGGAGTTTTACTGACTTTTTTTTTTTTAATTCATATATATAGAGAGAGGCAGAGTCACAGGCAGAGGAGAGGCAGGCTCCATGCAGGGAGCCTGATGTGGGACTCAATCCTGGGTCTCCAGGATCACACCCCTGGCTACAGGCGGTGCTAAACCGCTGCGCCACCGGGGCTGCCCGTTTTACTGACTTTTATTAAACCAAACAGAAAAATAAATAAAATAAAATAAACCAAACAGAACTGCAAATTAAGCAAGAGAGGCAGAATCAGGGAGAGTAACTTCCCTTTGATTTCCAAGTCAGTTTAGTCTCCACCGTAGGCAACAACAGACTAATGGTATATCTAGTCAGAATAGTTGATATATGTAAAATATTCTTTCGTTCTCCAAGTATACATTATATTATATTCTTTTTTTTGTAAATTTAAGAATGGAATTTGGTTTTCTCTTAAATACCTAGTGAATTGAGTCATGTAATGTTGAAGATTTATTAATTTATTCATATAATTTTCTGCATAAAAAATAAAAATTATGGTCATAGAGTTCAGCCTGGTTTTAGTGTTTCTAGGTTTTTAAGCATATAAATTTGTTCTTTCATTTTAAGAATTTCACCCAATGAAAGCAGGCCAAAGGCAAAAGAGTTAAAGTTGACTATATATATCAGAACAGCCCCAAATACTACCAAAGAGAAATATCTTTAAATGACTGAATATTGATGACCACACACCATACTAAGATGATATTAGAAGAATCATACATCAGTTTCTTACCAGAGGATCCCCTTCTGTGTCATTTTGTGGAATGTGCTTTGAGGTTGTGGCTTCCTTAGTGGATATGCAGCCCTCATACCCAACATCTTCTGGTCGCAACTGAAGTAACGCTGGACCATCCTGAGGCAGAGATGCTGAACTCCATGGGTATGTGTCAAGCACCCACTTTGAGGGGTCTTCCCAAGGTGCCCGTTTCCCATACATCTAAAAAATGATCACATGTTTAATACGTATAGAATACATTTCTATTCAGTAAAATAGGTGGCCGTTAATTGAGTGATTCCATTGTACATTGAGTTCTTATGGGACTTTCCAGGGAATTGTGTCCATATACAGTTTTCCAGATTGTAAATATATGTCTGTCTACGTACTCTCTTTAACCTCGAAGGAGAAGCAAAATAAAGAAGAACATCTAAAATAGATGGTCAGCATTTGGGAGAGAGTAAGAGGGAGGTTTATTTTAAATACATATAGAAATCACTGCCCACATTTATCTTTATTAGTAATTCTATAAACCAAAAGAAAACTCAGTTGAGAAAGAAAAGTTCCAATGATGGAGAATTGAAAAAAGCCACGCTAGACACTAAATAGAGTTCTCTACTAAAGTGCACTTTGGAAAAATGATAATTAAAATCACAGACCTTTTCTCTGCCAACCTCACTCTAACTCAAATTTTCTTTGAAAATAAAAATACTTTCTCTGATAATCATTTTCTTTGCATTAATTTCCTCTAATAATCTCATTGCTTCCTGTAGAAACTCTTTTTAGGTGTTTATTTATAAGGCCAGAGGTAAAAGAAGAGGAAAAATGGGAAATGAAAGCATTAATGTTGTCAGGATTCAAATGCAAGCAGAGTCAGTAAGAAAGAGATGAGAAAGGCTAGTTAAAGCACTGGGAGTGAAGTAGAGGGGACAAGATGAATATAAGTTATGTTAAAAGGTTCTAAGCTGTGGGCACATGGCTGTGGTTAAGCATCTGCCTTTGGCTCAGGTCGTGATCTTAGGGTTCTGAGATCGAGTCCCGTATCAGGCTCTCTGCATGGAGCCTGCTTCTCCCTCTGCCTATGTCTCTGTCTCTCTCTGCGTGTCTCTCATGAATAAATAAATAAAATCTTTTACAAAAAAAGTTTTTAAGCTGGAAGCAATCTTGAAGCCAAATTAGGCAGGGCACACTGAAGAGACAGAGGTGGAATGGACTTTGTAAACAAGGACTTTCTTTTCTAGAGAAAAGCTAAAATGAAGAGAAGAGAACAGTAACATGGGCAAACTAGTCCTTTGATGTACTTCCCGTCTGCCTTGACCTACTCTTTTGAGGCCAGTTCTGGTTACCTGGTGCCTATTTGGTCCCAGATAGCTTACTGTGAGGTGTTCTACATGGCTCATTGTGATTCAGTGAGACAAAAGCAAAATGGTGGACACTGACACCATGAAAGGCACACAGATTGCTTTGGAGTTATCTTTTGGGTTTCTCCAGGAGGAACTGAATGAGTTTGTGTCAGCCTTGCCTTGAGAAAGAGAGAGAGAGAGAAAGAGAGCAAGCGAGTGAGTGAGCACCAGGTCCTGATATCTGTGTATTCCTTGGGAGATGACAGCAGGGGTAACAGTCACCTTGTTTTGGAGCAAAAGTTTTCCCTCAGTTAAAAACCTACTTTATAGAACTATAAGACATAGGCTGCTGTACAACTTAAGCTAATCGAAGGAAATGTGTAATTCTTGGAAAGTAAATGTTACAAAAAGAACATGCAGGCTAGAATCGACTGATGCTAGCCTTTTAAAGATTCATCAAGGATAGTAAAATTGGAATTGACCAATAAAATGCTAAATAGGCCCAATTCTGTATTTTGGTGTAAAATAGGTATTATAGAAAATAATTGAAAGAATATTTAAATATTAAAATATTATAAAATATTGTAAAATTATAACATACAAAATATTTAAATATTTAGAATACTATAAATTGATTGTTGACATTTCAATAAAGGTAGAATCACCAGATTAAAAATCAGAATCCTTTGTATCACCAGTGGGTTTTTTTTTTTTTCTAGAACATCTGCCAGAGAGTATTCCCCATATGTTTCCTCATCAAAGCATTCATTTGAAATGAGATTTTTCTATTCTTCTCAACTCGGATGTTCATCTTTGCAATCAGGCTTTGTTTTTTCACTTCTTGCTCCAATTCAAGGTTCTTTGTTACCAGTAGATCCAAGGGAATAGTTCAAAACATACATGATTCCTTTTCTTCCTTTTCTTACAGAAAACATATAGGGACGACCCCAGGAATATCACCTACCAACGGACTTGTGGCAGAGCACATCCTTTAGTAGCAATGAGAACTGTCCACCCACTAAGGGTTTTCCTGTCTTACCTCTCCCTGTGTTCTGGATGTCCCCCCTACACTCGCTACATCGTGGCTGATTCTGCACTTACACTATCTTGCTCCTTAACATCTAGAACCACAGCAAGAAACAAGACATTTTTAATCCCTCTTCAAAATAATTTTGTTTTAGTCTGGGAAACTGATATTACTCTAATGGTTATACTTTTGCTTGAATAGAAGCTGTATAAAATTATCATTCTCAGGACAGTGTTTTATAAATAGTATCAATTTAATTGTTAAAAAGGAACCTATGCACTTTTAAAAAATGAAATTTAAGAGGTAAGTATTCTTAGATATTACTTTTTTGAGTTTGTAAAATCCTCTTTTTCTTTATATGTACGAGTAAACAAATATGAAATAAATAGGATTTTATATGTAAAGACTTGGATGATAGCTTATTAAATACTGAAACTATCTGAAGAGGACAAATAATTTATTTAAATATTAGTTTTAAAAATTATGACTTCTAGAATGTTATAAATATTTACAAATTTCTTTTTCATATACAGTGATTGAAATTGTGAGACTCAACTCACATCTTTGCATAAGAGTTTTAGAGGAATCCAGAAAATGGATATGTTATTCTTAAAAAATAAAAACCTTTGGTACAGTCTTTTATTTTGTTGGAACCAAAAGAGAATAAATGATCAAGACCCATGTTAACATGCCTGACTTATAAGATAAAGAAATGTCCAATTAACTAGCTATCAATTGACTGCTATTACCTACAGCAGTAAGTTTGTTTGGCCTTAAATGGGTAGTTGTTAGAACAAAGGTTTTCTCCTTCTCCTACATATTTAGTCTCAGAACAGAATATGTAATAAATAGTTACATACTAGTTGATCTTTAAAACCTTACCAGCATCTTTATATAGCTCATGCCTTCAGTTTTCTGTTATAAATACCCAGAGAAAAGAGTATTTTTTTTTTTTTTTACTTTAAAGGACAATTTTGCTTGCTTTTAAATAGTAAAGAAAATTGAGTACGATACCTGAAGACCTTCTCTCACTGCTTCTAGAATGTAAGGTACCAAAGAATAGTTCCAGAGGTCCATGAACCATACTCTAGAACCTTCCACATCCATAGGGCAAGGAAGGAAAAGTCGGGGACCTAAGAAGAAGCAAACCATTTTGAGAACCATTACGTTTAACCTAGACACATAAATAGCCAGACATCATTTTGAGGGATTTAATAATATGTCTTACAGGATTCTTAAACAATTATAATCTTGAGCAGCTTGATTGTCACAAAGTATGTTTTACTGGAGACTCAATCTACTGAACTCTTCTTCCTTTTACCCTAAAATCTTAATCTAGAACGTAACATATTAGAGTTATGAGAAACCTTAAAGGTCATAGTCTAGTTAACCTGCCCCATTTTATAGATGATGAAACTGTGCTGAAGTAAACTGCCAAATATAAAATATGTCATTATTTGAAGAGTAGGACTCAGCCTTGGCCTTCTGATCTCAAATGTAAAATTCTTCTTTTTCATTTACCTTGTATCTTTAGTGAGTACATCTTTATGATCCATCACAATGGGAAAGAGACTTTTATACACTCAATTTAAGAAAGATTAGGAAAATAAACATCTTTATGGCAGCTAAAGAGAAGTAATTCAGTTTTGCCTTAATGAAAAATATGAAACACTTCAATTATCCATGAAACACCCAAATTACCTCTAACTAAAATCTTCTCTCACAACTACGTTTGATGTGAGCCATTGGCTAAAATTTGTTTTTAGGATAAAAAGAAACTAAACAGATACAGTGTATTTCAAATGCTTATTTGATTTTTAAATATTTGTCTTTATTAAACTCATGTGATTTCAGTCAAACCTTAGTAAACCACAATTGTCAGCCAAAATGAATCTAATCAGATATATAAAGCTTAGAAGAAGGCAAACTTTCAGAAGAAAAAAAAGAAAACTTAAATCTTTGGAAGCCTGAAAAAAAATGAGCTTTACTTGTTATTTTCTACCATCCAATCTGGCCATCTTTACCACATACTCTTAGTTCCTGGAAAATGGCATATTGCAGTTTTGGAACTCACCAATGGTAACATCAGAAGAACTGTGTGTTTCCAAAAAACTGTTGAGATGATGCCATGTCTTAGGAATCCAATCTATAATTTTTACTAAGTCATTATTGCGTATATTCCTTTCTATTTCCATCTCTATCAGTTTCCTTCGAAGATATCTGCCTAAAAATCCTTTCACTGGTTCTGTGTGGTTTGCGCAGAGCACCCACCTACAAAAAGACAAAAAAAAAAAATCAGAAATCTTTGAATAATTAAGTTTGAAGTCTAGAGTATTCTCTTTTCCAATATAAATTAAGAATATTCCTATTTCAATTGATGGCTCATTTTAATGATCAAAGGGTTAGGAGATCTATTAGCATTAGAGGTAGACAAAATAACTAACTTTTTAAGCTAAAGAGAAGCTCATGTGCGTCAGAAGTGAGTGGGAGTATACACACTGAGTACTCTTTTGTAGGAGAATCACAAATCCTGAAATAGGAACTCTTCACATTCCTCACACTTTGAAGAAAAGTGCTCTACTTTAGCTGGTGACATAGTGAGCAGGACCAACATTTCTTTCCTTTTTCTTTCTTTCTTTCTTTTAAGGAAATACTTCTGATTACAGGTGGAGGATTACCAAATGTCTGCTTGAGGAAGTGTCAGAAGAAGTGAGAATTATTTTCACACCACAGGTTACCACTGGCAGGATGTGTCAATGTGCAAATGGAAAAACACTAATGTAACTGAAAGCAAACAGAAAGAGACAACACAACAAACAAACAAAACGTTTCATTTCATTTCTCTTTACCTGAAATTGTGATGCAGCTCTAGATTTGGTGATGAAGAAACTCCCTGATTCATTGTTCCAATAATATATGGACTGGAAAACAAAATAACATATGCAGATGTGCTGAAGGTAAAAGATATCAGTCTATTAAAATTGTCTTAAAAACAATTTAGGTAAATATGGATACTTCCATTTTAACATTAGGTTAGAAGGGTAATTTTGTAATGTTAGATTGAAAAATGACAAAGATCATTGAGCTGGAAATTTTGATTTGGGGCTCTAATTTCAGCTCAGGCATCCTAGGAGAATCATTTTACCTTTCTGAGCCTGAGTTTACCCATCTATAAAATAAAAAGGTTAGATAGAATAATCACAGAAAACTCATTTCACTCTAACATCTTATGACTCTTATGATTATAATCAAATTCATTAATTTTTCCTCTTTTATTATTTCATAGAGATTTTAAAGTTTCTCAATGACATTAAAAGATTTATATTCTTGTTTCAATGCCTTTTTCATGATCTACTTTTAACATTTAAAAAATCCCTAGTAGAGATTAATTGGGATATTGCCCCAATAAAACTAATATTTAGGTTGTTCTTATATGTCCTTCCTTTAGAGGCCATACTATAGTGAATACTTAGTGGGTTTTTAGATTTCTTTTATACCCTACTTCAATCTTTGCTTTCATTATAAATAATTAAAAATTAGACTCAATAATGGAGAGAGATATATCTAAATGCATTAAATTTATCTTTATATAGGAAGGTTGAATTCAAACTTTGATGTGGAGGAAAAAAAAAAAACAAAACCAGAGCTCTAGACCTTCATTTTAATTCTTAATTTCTTTGATTCAAACATTCTGTCATTGATCTACGTCTCCCAGACCATCAGCATATCTGCAGAAGCTAATGCCATCATGTAAATTATGTTTTCATAACAGTTACCTGGGACATAATTGCTGAATGAATAAATAGATGTTCCAAGAAATGCACAGGAATTTTTTGGGAAATATGTTATAATATTAATGAAGTCTTTAAAAGGCATAAAGACACAAGAAAACAAATCTGATGATTTTTTCATATTTCATCACTCAAAATATTTCATAAGCATACCATTTGTTGTATTTACAGTTGAGAAAGCCATTGAAGATATCACTCAAAGAGCCCACATGATGAAGATTATCAAGAATTATTACAACAGGGAGTTCTACACCATTATTATCAGCACTGCACTGTTCAGCCAGGTTAGCTAGATACTGTTGCAACTCCTTGAAAAAAAAAAGAAAACAAATACATCAATGATGAGTTTAAACCATTGGCAAGCAACTCACAGTTTAGGAATAGCACACTTTGTCTGCCATCCAGTACCTCTGATCAAAACCCACAGGTCATTCCACTGATATAAAACAAAGCAAACACATATAATGCTGTGAGGATGTATTTTTTAAAGAAAAGAGCAAAGAGAAAAGCCAATACAGAACAGCTGCAGCAAATATAAAATTGTGAAAACAGTTTTAAATTGTTTCTCAGTTGTTGTCTCCCCTTAAAAAAGGCCAAAAAAAAAGGGGGAGGGGGAATGAGAGTTTTGGATATGAGCTCTTATAACAAACCACAAATACTAAGACTTCATTCTTGCTTTTGGTATTACAATGATAAAAGTGGATTTTAGCAAACCTTATAATTTTCCGGTATAGAATAAATCCAAAATGGCACACCTAAGTTTCCACTAATACTTTAAATGTTTTAATTGCAATTCATTTCAGTAGGGTGCATTAAACCATAGCCCAAGGATTTGGATAGAAGTGTGGTTATTTACTTATTTATAATCTGCATGCAACTTCTGTGATTTTAAACAAAGACAAAATTTGTTATATTCACTGGGTCACTTGACATTAGCATTTCTTGAGTTTTTTTTTTTTACAGGTATTATTCCTTTCTAATAGCTTTTAATCTAAATATGATAACCAGTTTGCTGATTGACTGCTCTCACAGATGGATAGGCCAGGAACACAATTAGGTTTCTTAAAATTATCCTAATCAGTAAGAGCATTTCCATAATATTTGCATACTTACAATGACATTTTCAATTTGTAAATCTTGCTCAGGGTTAAAAAACAATTCCATGATTCCAATTTCTGGAATCTGCCAGGTGAATATGTGAACCACTTACCCTAGATGCCACCTCCTTCTGTCTGTAATACTAATTATATTTTTATTTTTTCAAGATTTTATTTATTTATTGACAGAAAGAGAGAGAGCACCAGCAGGGGGAGCAGCAGGCAGAGGGAGAGGGAGAAGCAGGCTCCTTGCTGATGGGCTCCATCCCAGGACCCTGGAACCATGACTTGAGCTGAAGGCTGAGGCTTAACCAGCTGAGCCACACAGGCGTCCCTATAATACTACATTTAGAACTAAAAGCAGAGAATGATAAAAACATTGCCCAGGGTTTTGAGGCATTTAGTAATATATTCACTTAAGTTAAATATAAAATTTATTAGAAAACTAATGCACTTTTGATCTTACATTGAACCAATCACACTGAATAAATATAGCCTAAATCAAAGAATTCAGAAAAATATGTTTAAACTAATGAATGCTCTGGAGAATTTCATTTATCTTAGAACACAAAAAATGGAATTTATACCAATAAAATAACTATATTAAGTCATGCATTCATTTATAAAATATTGACTGCCTATCTTCTATGTTCATAGCTCTAGACAATCCCCTGAGGTGTATAAAAATAATGAGGCATTATTCAAGTTAGTAAGTTTAATGCTAATTATGAACTGAATCAACTCCTTCTGAGTATAGGGGTTAAAAAGTATTCCCTTGTAGGCATTAAGAGTATCATGTTAGGCACTAAAATTTAAATATGATAAATCATATGAATACAATATCACAGTATATTAGGAGCTATGAGAGGTCAGGAGAGGAGATTTTGCCTAGGTGGTAGGTATCAAGGAAAGCTTTCCAGAGAAGGAAATGCTGGAGCTTGGGAGGGTGGTAGGTACATACATAACTAATAAATGTACAAAATACAATGTAAAATATCCCTTGAGAGAGGTTAAACAGAGACTTGGCCTGTAGGAGGAAGAAGGAGTAATTCCAACCGGGGGATTCTGATGAGGTGAGGTGAAATTTGAGATGAATTCTGAAAAATGAGTAGAATTCCAAATGTTAAGTATGCAGTTATTGATCCTTTCAAAACACCGTTAGCAAGTACCTGTTATGTTCCAGGTACTCTGGCACTAAGGATTCAGAGATTATTTCTCCATTCCAAGAATTTAGAGTTGAGAAACAGAAAGGCAGGTCAATAAATAAATGAAATGCACAAAACACTATACAGAAACTTGAGAGGCACCTAATCCAGACTTGTTCAGAGAACAGGGAACTGGGGACAAACTACTGAAGTGCAAGTAATAAAGAGTGAAAGCTGGAAGGTATGAGCGTGTGATGTGTTTGGGGAAATGAAACGCATTCCATTGTTGCAAGAGAAATTGCACATGGTAGTGCTGGTTGTAATGAAAAAGAAAATAGATCTTGAATCCATGCACAAAAAAGTTGGATCTTTCTATATAAACAAACGTGAACCATTGACACATATTTTTTTTTCAGTAGGGAAAGAGCAAATTTATTTATCAAAGGAAACATAAATATGAAGGAGATGATGGTTAATTAGAAACGGGAAAAGCATTCAGAAGCCTATTGCCCAGAATAGAGGGTTACGTGTGTGTATAAAAAAAAACAAACAGGGATCCCTGGGTGGCGCAGCGGTTTGGCGCCTGCCTTTGGCCCAGGGCGCGATCCTGGAGACCCGGGATCGAATCCCATATCGGGCTCCCGGTGCATGGAGCCTGCTTCTCCCTCTGCCTGTGTCTCTGCCTCTCTCTCTCTCTCTGTGACTATCATAAAATAAAAATAAAAAAAATTAAAACAAAACAAAACAAAAAAAAAACAAAAAAACCAAACTGTGATTCATGGTTAAAAAAAAATTAAAAAGGCATACATCACAGATTTTGTTCAGAGCATGTAAACCTTACTTGCTTACTTGTACCAATGGGAAAGACCTTCTGGCGGTAGGCTTATTTGCTATTAACCTTTTATTTTTAGGAGTAGGTAATGTTTTGATGCTTCAAAATGCAAAAAGAGCTTTCCAAATAGAGAGGAAAGAATAATCAAAGGCATAAACACAAAAAAGATGTGGAAGGAAAGAAACTAGTAGCATATGTTTTGGGAATATAAATAATGTTAAGTAAGTTGGAAAGAAGAGTTTGTAATCCTGAATGATTTGAAAGGTTACTGGACTTTTCCTGTTAGGCAACAAAGGAACATTGAATGTTCTGTCTGGAGTTCTGAGTAATGTAGTTAGAATCATGATTTCAAAGTGTGGTAAGTATATTGTAGAGGAGGAAGAGAAACCCGTCAAGAGAATAACAAAATTGTGGAAGCCAAGGGACATTACGGGACTAATAGGATAGTAGAGGTGTGGGGAGATTTTTGACCCAGTATGAAAAGCAATAGAAAAACGTTGCGGATTTAATGCAGTCAGACTTTAATAATGAAAAGATATTCTATTTTCCAGGAGGTGAAGGAATAAGTCAGAAAGAGAGAAGGATGATTTAACAGAAGTTGTGAATCAAGCAGTTAGAAAACAGATGCTGTCATCTAAGAGATAAAAGAGTGTTACCTTTGATGGGAGGGTGGCGATAGCAGAGATGGAAGGAAGAAGATGGATTTGATGCTTTTAGAGTTGAAACTGGGTTTTCTAAACATGTGTACTTAGCATGCTAATAGAAACATACGTGTATGCTAAGGGAGGGGCCTACTATTCAGGAGAGTGGGCGTGGCTAACGGGGTCCAATTGGAGTCAATACACGATGACTCGAGGGGGGTCATCCAGGCGAGAACAGAAGAATGTTGGGTCACAGTTTCATTTACTGGTAGGTGATGGAAAAATAGTCAGTGGGTGAGACTGAGAAGGAGCTTGCTAGAGGGTAAGAAGGAAATAGAGAACAATAATCATGAAAATTAGAGGAATTTCTGAAAGGGGAAGATTATAACAATTTGCTATACCTAAGCAATAAAAGAGAGAGACAGAGAAAAGATGCAAAGGGCACTGCACTTGGTAATTAAGACATCACTGAGTGATTCTGGAAAAGTAGGGCCATTAGATTCTATCAGGATTCTCATCTTGAGAAGGGTAGTAGACCTCTTTGGGAGTCTGATGAAAGCTATGGACCAGGTGTATGTGGCAATAGGCATACACAAATAATTTTGTCATGTAACTTAAGAGTTTTTCTTGGATCCCTTTGAAATCACTTTATGATCCCCACTGTAACTTAACAGAGGTTAAATCTTTGAAGTACTGATACATTAGCATTAAAAGTTTCATGTCTAAGATCTAATTAGGCAAAAGAAAACAGGTATGTGCACCAGATGGACACTGATAATGAGATGAATCCCATACTTTGAAAATACACAGAGAACTCAGGAGTCATAGAAAAGCTGTTGATCATTGCCTTCTCCGGTTTTGACTCTAGACACATCAAAAATGAATCTGCCAAGACCAGTTTTTTGATCTTTTCCTACCTAACATTCCAAGTGTTTTCAACTGGCCACATATTATTTACTAAATTCATCTCTAGCCTTCTGGGCCTGCTATATCAAATGTCACAAAGTGTAATCGCTTATGTGTACTGCTCTTGATCAAAATATTCCAGCTGGCAGCTTGAGGGAGGGCTTGAAGAGTAGGAAGAGGGACAGGATGCAAAATGCAGAGCGACCAAACACATGAAAAGATTTTTTTCATTTGATGGTTTTAATGTTCGATTGTTTTTTTTTTTTTGAATCAGTAAGTGCTTTTTTGGCTTTGTCTCTTCAGTGCTATCTATGGCGTAGCATAATGCACGTCAGCCACTGCACAGCTTCATTTTTCAGGGACGGGATTTATTAGTTCATGCCTCATTCACACTTGCCGTTAGTAGATCTACACAGCTAGCAGCTGTCCCTCAGACAATCTCAACTAGTCATCCCTATTCCTTTATACCATTCTCACCCACCCCGCCCACCCCCCATCACAAAAAAGCAGAGCAATAATAAACAAATGAAAACCACTGTGGATTTTCTGACAATTTGGCAAGAATTAGGCTAAATTCTCTAGCAACAATTGTACCCAGCACTATTGACAGCTCATTCATATCTTAAAAACAGAAAGAATAAACATGTCAGTTGTATTTTGTGCTTCCTTGGTGCCGAATGCCACACA